TTTTTTTTTTTGTTTTTTTTTTGTTTTAACCTCTGTTCCACTACTCCTTCCCAATGATATGTACTATAAAACATGTTTATATATTTGAGGGCTAAATACTTCCTTTCTCTTCCAGGAGACTGATCTAAAGGCACAAACTGTAGATAACGCAAATTCAACGATGAATATATCTAGAAAATTATCATAGACTTAATCTCTCTAAGCATCAGTTTCCTTATTTGTAAGATGGAGATGCTAATGTTATTGACAGCATAGAATTTTGAGGAGTGTGTAAGAGATGTGTGGATAATAGTGCCCAGACATAGTAAGCATCAGCAGATGTTACTATCTTCATTATTGTTATTAAATCTCTCCTTAACGTGGCCATTACTGGCAGGATTCATCAATACTAACTCCACAGATTTTGATAGAACATTATAGTGTTTCCTCATCTAATCCTTTCAACAGCTACATAGAAGAGAAAGGCCCAAGTTTAAAAATATGACTAAATCCAACTTTTCCAGCTTCTATGATCTGTCTGACAGTAGTCTCACAGTAGTAGGTAGATCTCTCCAGTTACTGTAGGTTGCCAAGATTGATTCAAAATTAATGATGTTATATTTGTGTAATAATAGGTCGGTATAACTAAGGTACACAGTGGCACACCTGCAGAGGCAATTAGTTTATTTAGAAAGAGATCATGTAAATTCTTAATTGTGATAACTCTTTCTGTAACTGAGTACAAATAAATACTGAATAAATTCTCTATCCTGAACACTGATATTATCTAAATTTAAATTCTTTCATAACTGCATTATTAATCCTGCTTCCTATTTATTCTCAGACTGGTTCACATCCCTAATCTTAATCAGCTTTTTGCAGGTGTATATTTTAAACACACAGTGGATCAATAAAATACTTCTTTGTAAGCCAGCATACACCCTAAATTGGAAGGACTTCAAATTTGTATTTCAAGGAGCTCTTATTATTTTAAAAAAAAAAACTTCCAAAAAAAGTTTCTTTTTAAAAAATTCTCTTGAAGAGCCTAGTACCAACATTTTTTAAAAGCAATATTTACATATATTTCATCTATAGTTTTGGTAAAGTATTATTATTTAAAATAGCTGGTTAAATTGCTTGTTAAATTTTTTTATGTCATGGTTCTCCATTTTGTGGCCAGAGGATGAGGCAGTCAAAACTTGCCTGGAATTAAACATTTATTTTCCAACTTTCATCATTGAGATCATGTGGTTTCAAACTCTTTTTTGGTATTCTTTGCTTAATTTGCTTTCACAGATTTTTTTTAAAAATGTACTTCAGCCAAAATTTGTAATCCAAATCAGCTACTTTCTTGACTCTTTCCAGAAAAAGACCCTAAACCTATTCTATTACAGTAGTATTACAAGTGGCAGAGTCGTTTCTGATCTGGAACGCAAGAATAAGACCAACTGACTGGAAGAGATTTAAGGGGAATTTTGGATAAAAAATCCTTCTGTAGTGTCTTAGTCTGTTTGGGTTGCTATAACAGAATACCGTAGGCTAGATAGTTTATGAACAACAGAAATTTGTTTCTTACAGTTCTGGAGACTGGGAAGGCCAAGATTTAAGCTCTGGCAGATTCAGTGTCTGGTGAGGGCCTGCTTCCTGGTTCATAGATGGCGCCTTCTTGCTGTGTCCTCATATGGTAGAAGGGAAAAGGAGTTTTCTTGGGCATCTTTTTATAAGTGTACTAATCCCATTCATGAGGGCTGAGCTAAGGATTTCAACATAGGAATTTGGGGAGAGGCACACAAACATTCAGTCCGTAGTATGTAGTATAATGACTCATCATTTGAGGTATTACAAATTTATAAAATATTTACATTATCTAATTGAAATATATAATTTTGACAGAATGTCCAATTATTTTCATATTAGCCATGTTTATTTTTCATTGTCTAAATTTTTAAACAAGGTAGTAACTCATTTCTTCTCTGTGAACCCACCTGGATTTGACGGCTAATTGAATTGCTGCTGCTGCTGCTGCTGCTGCTCACGGAGATTCCGACTTCAGCATTACAGACATGATAGGAAATGATGCCTAAAGCACTTTTAAGGAGAAATTCAAGTTTTATAAATGAGATGGTACTTTGCTTAGCTTCAGGTTGTTTTCTAAAAACCAATTTTGAAAAATAAAATGTATTCATTGCTAGTTATTTAAAAGTAGGCATTTTTATAGAGTTGAACTTGTTGACTTGCCATCACAGTCCTATAAAATTTTAAGCTGACATAAACTGGAGCACTGCTATTGTATGCAGCTTGGGTCATGCTGATGGCACCTGAAAGAACTTAGAAACATGAGAAAATATTTTTAAATTAAACAAAATTTGGACAGTTTAGGTAAGCTAGCATTTTAAATAGCATCACAAGATACGTTTTGTTCATACTTTTTGAACATACTTAAATCTTTTAAACAATTATGCTTTGAAGATAAAGTTAGATGAAATAATTTTATTCTTTACTAATGGCAGGTACTTAAGGTATTCTAATCATGATGAGTTTCCAGAAAGTATTCATTGACATTAACTATCGTTATGGAACCATAAGTTGAATATAAAATATTACAAATTCTGGCATCAGCCTGAATTGCAGCAACTCATTTTAAATTTGATAAAATATGAATAAGAAAATTGTGTATAAAGCTCTGATTCTATGATCTGTTTAATCAGATGAAGTAAGCTCTAGATCATAGAAAAGTTTTCTCTCAGGATACATCTGTAGGCTTAAATTTTATGTACAGTAAGGCAGAAAAGTTGGCTTACTTATAAGAATGACTTTTCTCAACCTTGGAGAAGAAGCAGGACAGTAGAAGTAGATTGCCACGGTAATCTCACGTGAGAATTTCTACCACAGAACTGAAGTAGTGGGTGCTAATTCTTATTATAGAAATGAGTGCTTTTTTGGGGCCGGCCCGGTGGCGCACTGGATAGTGCGCCGCTTGGGAAGTGCGGCGGCGCTCCCGCCCGAGGGTTCGGATCCCATATACAGACCGGTTCCCGCTCACTGGCTGAGCGAGGCGCGGGAGCAACACCGAAGGGTTGCGATCCCGTTGCCGGTCCCCGGTCCGGTACGGGGGCAACACTGAGGGTTGCGGTCCGTTGCCGGACAAGGAAAAAAAAAAAAAAGAAATGAGTGTTTTTGTATTCATCCCCATTATTAGATGCTTTGACTTTGGACAGAGGCTCGTGAATGTAATTCCTCGTTGAGAGCAACAGTCAGTTTGCTTTGGCAGGTGAAAAAAAATCTCTGTTCTTAGAATCCTGTGAAGCACTTCCCAGCCTTTCATTAATCACATTTTTTGTTCATTAGGTCAGTGTCTGCTCTATGACATCATTAACTACACACTTTCAGATTAATAACATGCCTTTAGTCATCTGTAGGGGACGTGAGGTAATAATTACCTTAAAAATGTGCACCCTTCTCGAAGCCAATGGGAGCCTAAGGGGGCTGCTCTCTGTAAGTTGTAGCGCTAACACACAAAAGTGGCATCTGCCCTATGGGCCATAAACTGATTGCAATGTAAAAAGGCAGAAGAGTTCCACCAAGAGTTACAGAGGTTTTGCCC